AAAGTTTTTATTTATGTTTTTATTGACAAGAATATTTTTGTCCTATTTTCCAATAATTGCTTCCGCCACCCTACATCATCATAAAAAATAAACTTTAATTCGGAAAAATTCTTTGTGATTGTAGATAATTAATCTTTTATACTAAATTATATAGAAAGCGAAACAAATATTATTTAAAATTATGGATAAATTTATAATATTGATATGCGCGTACTTATTGTTGTATGTGTTTCTTTCTGGAACCCCAACATTATTACATTACTATGCTATTATGAGAATACACGAATATATACTTGTATAGTTGCATTTGAGTAATAATTTTGGAAATACTAATACATTAGCATCGCAAACATGAAAGTAAACCATAATTTAATTACTTCGTGTATAACTTTTGATTTTCAACTAGTTGAATCAAGATCCTTTTTTTATGTATCATTAATTAGAAACTTATCTTTAATTTCTTCATAAACCCTAATGTTTAATAAGGTTTGTCTAGAATTGGTTGGTCGTAAATGAATTTTTAAATTTCTTTCAATTGGTTGGTCGTAATTTTGACAAAAACTCACATCAAATTATGGGTGATATGTCTGGAATTGTTGCAGTCAGCATATAACGCATTAACACATAACCTTTGCTGCTTCTTCTTGTATAAGCTTCTTGTATGTGATTGAATGATATAATCATTGGTAGGCCAAATCATATACGAAAGAACATCCTAAGCAATTACGGAGTAAATAATATAGGAAATAACGGATAAAATCCTCTTGATATCAACATCATTCATACTATATGGAACGGACTAAGCAAGCTAGAAAATAAAATATGAAGTTATACTATTTTGATCGACCTCTACGCATATCTAAAAAAGGACTCTAGGTCTCTCAAAAAAAAAAAGCTCTAGGTCATGTCATATTGTGCCTTGTGTTGAGCTCGCATGCCTAAAGGCTGGCTAGGTTCATACACGATTGCTCATCCCACGGCACAACCCAATATATAGCTACTTGGTGTATATATGTGCCTTGAATTTCAAAAGAACGACCTAGATCTAATCGGAAGCTTATTTTGTTGTGCCTACAATTACGCAGTATAAGACAATTTCACTTCATTAAAAAAAAAATAGACATTTAGCAACAGATCAAATCCGTTGCTAGATTGTACTTTTCTGTCGCTGAATATAGGTAGCGACAGATTTTGAAACGGAATTACTCCGTTGGGAAAATTGTTGTCGCTAAATGAGACTAGCGACATATTTGTTTTCTGTTGCTGAACTTAGCAACGGATTTTTATTTCCGTCGCTGGTTTTAGCAACGGATTTTTATTTCTGTCGCTGGTTTTAGCAACGGATTATTTTTATCTGTCGCTGGTATTAGCAACGGGAAAAAAACCCGTCTCTAAATTTAGCAACGGAAAAAAAAAAAAAAAAACCCGTCGCTCATTCAGCAACCGAAAAAAAAAATCAGTCTCTAAATTTAGCAATGGAAAAAAAAAATTTCTCTAAATTTAGCAACGGAAATAATTATTTTGTGTCTAAAAGTAGATGCTATTTGGTTCGACCTCACTCGGGTCAACCCGACTTGGCTTTGCTTCTAAGGCTCCTTGAATCCCCAATCTCAAGAATCGCAATAGGTAGGAGAGTCGAACCCATGACCTCAAAGTCACATAGTGAAACTCTTACCAATTATACCAAATATTATTTATTTACTTTTACGCACATATATAATTGATAATAAGTGAAAGAAATATTAAAGATGAAATTTAAAATCCGTCTCTAGTTTAGAGACAGAATTTAGTTTACATAATTCGCCTTTAAAGTAGTAATTTACATAATTCGTTTAGAAAATAATTAGAGACAGAATTAAAAATCCGTCGCTCATATCAGCAACGAAAAAAAAAAATCCGTCTCTAATTTAGCAATGGAAAAAAAACCTGTCTCTAAATTTAGCAACAGAAAAAAAATCCGTTTCTAATTTAAAGACAGATTTTCAATTTCGTTTCTAATTTAGAGACGGATTTTTTTAATTCCATCTCTAATTTAGAAACAAATTTTTTAATTCCTTTCTAAATTAATTTAGAGACGGATTTTTTAATTCCGTCTCTAATTTAGAAACGAATTGAATTCCATCGCTAGAATTCCGTTTCTATATGGACATTTTTTGGTTGTGTTTGTTTTGTCTTATTTGTCATATTGTGCCCAAGCTAGTCATGTTGTGTTTTCTCGTACTTTTTTTCAACCAAAAATGGCTCACAATCTGACACGTATAATTTGTAATGTGATGTGCTTGGCTCGTTCTTGCGCCCGGCTTAGCCTTAGTGCCATAACTGCCATTACTAGTAGTACTCGTACACCCTGGCCTTAATATGATATGCATGGCTTTTCTTACAAACTGTTCCCATAAACCCAACACTAGGCTAATTATAAAAATACAAAGGTTCGATAGATAGAAATTTTTTCTTTCATAGAAAACGACTTAAAGCTCTGAAAATTACTTAATTTAAAAGTAATATAATAGTCCATAAAAATGTGGACTATAAATTGACGAATGAAATATCACGATCCGATCCAAAGAGGTGAGAATTCAACAAGTACCTTTTAGGAAGAATCTCTTTTGAATTTGTTTTCTTTTTTTATGTTGCTAAAAAGAATCTTGTTTGAGACTACAATAAAAAGTCCCTACAAAACTTTTTTTCCTTTTTATTTTTTATTTTTAATTTGGATAAAAAGCATTATCTCCAAATAATTATATGAATGTTGTTGAATAAAAAATCGATGAAAATGATTCGTTGTGATTGTTTACATAAATTATGAAATTATATAAACATTTTAAAGTACATATATCTACTCATTAACTCAAGATTTAAGCGATTTCATATGACTTCGCAGTTTGTTTTACAATTATTCATTTCACTTTTAAATTTATTGGAGCTAGATAAAAGCTTTTTGAAAATACAAGTACTCGTAGAACATAATTAACGTGTCATTGAATTTTCGATATTCCAACTATCTTGTCACTTGAAAATTAATTCTTATGTAAAATTTCTTTTGAAACAAAAGTAAATTAACTAAATTATGAATTCTATGATAGCATATAAGTATTAAATGTATTTTTTATTTCTGAAATACTTCTAAAATACTATAAGTTTGATAATTTATGATAAACTCACACGTTGATTCACACGTTGATAGCTTTATTATAAGTGTCGTTATTCTTGAAATATATATCCTTATTAAACTTGTTGTACGTAGCCCTTAGAGCTGCATTTATAACATATTTTCTTACTATTATAAAGGGCTTATCTATAGCATAATACAATATTGCATGCCACATACTTAAAACCACCTCCCCTTGAGATGTAAAAAACTAAGTCAACCAACCCGAAAAGTGACCCAATTCAGAAGTTGATATGCATAAACACAATAATTTAGCATGACTCAAAATTAATTAAATCCGATCTAAAATCCAATTAATTAATGACTTGAATTGACACTTCTACGACCTCCTACACTTGTAATTTGTAATTTATATTGTCATTCTACTTTCTGGTTAATTTGGAAATAAAAAATTAAAACAATCAAACCATAAGTCTTAGGAATATTTGGGTACAACACGGTCGAAGGTAGTTACACAGGAAAGACCCAATGCATGTAAATTAATGAAAACTCGATAACTCGTAGTTCATGTAAAATGGTCCCAAAAATATGCATTATAAAGTCAAACAGACTTTAATCTTTTGTTTCCCCTTTTTACCCATTTGCCGTGTCAAGCACATGTTCTTGCCAATCAATTTTTTGATTTTTATTTTTCCGCGTAATTGCAATTTTTTTTTTCAACTTCACTTTTATATCATCTCTTCTCTTACAACTTTCTTTGATTAATTATAAGTTGATAGTTACTACTCTTATTATTACATTAATTATTATACCCTTGAAAAGAATAATGCTTAACATGCCGTATGAAATATTATATTGTAATTGTAGCAAATTATGTGATAATCTTTCTAAAGTATCCACATTTGTGTTACTCCTGTTTGATGATAATGTGTAGAGAATCAAATGACTTGATTAGGTTGTGTTCACATTGAAATTAATCATTTTCTTTGTCGGAAAATTATTGTCACCTGAATAATTTTAGAATTTCCGAAAGAATATGTCACAATTTTGTAAATATTAATTACTTTTACTAGCGTTTTTATATATAAAAAAATAATAATAAATCTAGGTTGGAACTGAGTGACATGGTGACTTCAAACATGATTGATACAAATATTATTAGTTATTAGTAAACTGTGTTATTTTATAAGTTTAAGGGGTTTTGATAATTTAACATGAATGAAGATACATAATTAACATTACCAAATTATTATACGTTACACAGTCGAAAGACAATTTGTATATGTGTTGTACTCGCCTTTTATTGTTACTCCATAAATCCCTAACTTATGTTTCTAGGAGCTTTGAACACGTCTTTGCTTTCTAATTAATATGTTGTAACAAGGAGATGTACAATACATGTACGCTACAGTAATGGTGAATCTTGTTTGATATTCTAATTAATATAAAAAACCCATATATTTGTTCCGTTTCACAAAAAATTGTTGTTGTTCTCTATTCCTTTTTGGTAGAAAAAATACTCAAATATGGAGTAAAGTATGAAAAAAAAAAAACCAAATCACAAAACGACAATGTTAAAATATGAAAAACATAAATTAAAATCAAACATTATTAATAATTGAAATCACAAAATAATAATGCACTCCACAATATAGTCATGAGCTCATGACACACAAACTAATTCAGCCAAATAATAATAATGTGTATGCCAGTAAATACAACACTGGAAACTTAGCTTTAAAAACACATCCATATAATATCTCATTTTGTAATAGAAACTAATTGTAATTAAGAAAAATAAGCATATACATACATAGAAATCAATTAAGTGCTAAGTGCAACTTATTCAAAAATAATAATATTATTACAACTGTAAGAAATTGGAATTTTTAATTAAAAAGTATGCTAATGATAATTAGAGAAATTAAGCTTAATTAATAACTTTGGCCATATACTCATATGTAGCATTAATTAGCATAACAAGTAGACAGAATTAAGGATTTCTCACCCCTTTTTTCACATAATTAAGATTTCTTGTAACTTTGGCTTTTCTTGAAACTTCTCCCCACCTTAACTAACTTAGCAAGCTTTCTCTCTCCTCTTCCTTTGCTAAAAGCCAGATTATGACACATTTTTTATTATTTTGCCAAACCTTACTTCTTATGTCATCACCCTTCTTCTCCCTTATATATATATACCCCCCTTCTAAAACTTTATACTATATTATTTTTATACATCTTATAAAAAAAATTTACAAAATTTCTCTCTTGTTTTTGGACCGCCCTCTTAAATTTGCTACATTTTTATTAAAATTATTATCATGGGTTTAAGAGACATTGGAGCAACACTTCCTCCTGGATTTAGATTTTATCCAAGTGATGAAGAATTAGTTTGTCATTATCTTTATAAAAAGATTGCTAATGAAGAAGCTCTTAAGGGTACTTTGGTTGAAATTGATTTGCATACTTGTGAGCCTTGGCAACTTCCTGGTATGTATATAAGTTTTTATTTTATTAATTACTACGAAGTATATAATTACAATTATTAACTATTTTTTTAGTATGTATCATTTATTTTTATTTGTTAATCTTTCTTTCTAAGAAGTTTACATGCATTCTTCTTCTTCTTCTTCTTTTTTATTCTCTTCCTTTTGATTTATTATTCCCTCCTTTTCTCCTTCTTTTTGAGTTGATCAAACTTGTTTTAAAAAACTTTTTCAGATTCTTTATGTTGTTATTCAACGATTTCATGCATCATGAGTTAATCGGAACGTGATTTACCGGAATCATGACCTACCGCTCTAGTTATCGAGAATAAATTAATTATAGGGGAGATCATAGGCGTACAACAATTTTATTTTATTTTATTTTGGCTTTCACGTTTTAATTACGATAATTGGATGGTCGAGTAACCAGAGAGTATTCTCATCACACAAGTTAATTTGAATCACTTATGATTAGTGGAATGAAAGATTGATCATGGTATTTCTATATGAAATTTGGTGATATGATCGTGCCTAAACGAATATTTAGTACTTTAAATGGATGGAAGATCTTATATTTTCTCCACTTGCCACTAATTTAGTAGTAAGCTTGACTTTAAGTTTTGTTAAATTATTAGAAATGGTCTCGTGAAAATCTTCATTACATTATTCATTATAGTGTACATAATTTTATTACAGCTTTCACATTTAAATTAATTATATCATGCATATTTATTACTAGTAACAAACATTTTAATTTGATTCATGTTTCATGCATAATTCTATTAATCCAATTAGTAGACGTGTCGTGGTAAATAACTTTCTAGTATATATGAAGATTCATTTGTTTAATAGATTTGATTTCCTTTCACTTTTTTTCAAATGTGCATTTAATTGTAGTGCATGAAACTCCGGGATTATCAAATTGTTTGCATGCAAGCTATTGATGAAGCTAATGAAAGAATATTTAACTTTTATTTTTATAAAATTTCTTTGAAATTAGATTAAGTGGGTAGGGGTGAAAAAATGTTAGTATTTATACAAGTATTTTGTGTTGTAAAATAAAATGAAAATATTAAATTACCACTATTTGATTAAAAATTACCTCATTTTCACTATATATTTTGGGACTAGCTATAGGGGCTCTAAAATGGAATGTTTTGTAATCTATTATAGCGAGTACAACGTTAGATCATAGTTGTATACTTGCGCAAGAATAATTCTTTTGAGGTTGTTACCTTCTATCTTTTTCTCCTAATAAGTTTTGTCTCTTTCATTTTATTGGTTGTGACTTGTGTCATTGTGTGTGCGCTAATTTTCCGGTTCGGTTCCCTCCCTTTTTTGCATGCCCCGTGTATTATGTGTTGAAAAGGCTTTTTCACCTCAAAAATTGAATGACTAATAGAACTAACTCACACCTTGTATTATTCTTGCCATTCATGTTGCTGACGTAGTGTAATTATCTAAAAACGTGTATTGATCAGTAGCAGAATAATAATTATATCCCTTTTTGTATTTGCTTCTATATTTGGGAGTAGTTTAAAATTTTAACCTTAATTGAAAGTATGCAAGATAGTATATTCCCAATACATTTTTTAGTTTTGATATGGTATTACACATAACACCAAAAAAAATATTTTGTTTACTTGCATATTAAGTAGGCTTGTCATAAAAGCTAAAAAATCACAAATAACAGCTTGACAACACCAAGGTTGACTCCTTTCCAAATTGAGAAAGATAACAAGCCAACCAGCTTATTTTATTGTTACACTTGAGTTTTTCTACATTCACCTATGTTATATAATTCCATCTTTTACTTAAAATAAAAAGTTATTTAATTTCTAACAAAACTCTAAGTGCTTCATTAGGAAAATTAATACACTTCTAAATCCTTCTTATCTTATTTCCATAATTATTTGAAGTAATTCTAGTAATGACCAACAAGTTTTTTCTCTTTGTTTCTTCTTATATGGTTTATTTACTAAATATGCAGAGAATAATGATGCTTAGTTGCTAATTGACAACCAATACAACAAACAATAGAATGGAAATACCTGAAAATTCCAATTTGACTTTGCTAGATTTAGTTGTCAATAAGTTCAGTTAAAGTATTGACACTTATACTCATCAAGATGTATGATCGAATCTTGTCTACACCATTGTCTTCTATGACTTCCTATACAACAAATTTTATAAAGTCGTATATGTTTTTAATTATGGAGTAGTACGTATTTATTCTAATTATTCAAATAGTAGTGATGAAAGAAAGATAAGAAAGGGGTTATAGAAATTACTTTTTTTAACAGAAGAATTAGCTCTTGTCAATAAATTTTTCAAATAATCTTACTGTGTTAGGAACTTTTTTAATGTCTAGGTTGTACAACAACATACCTGGAAATTGAAATTTTCTAACGCGTAAGAACTTATAATGATGATGCTAGATGGAAGAAGGTCCTCTACTTAATTGAAATAGGAAGCCAATAATTAATTAGGATTAACAATGATGTGACACTTAGGGGAAGGTGTAATTATATATCTTATCAAATATTTGTACATGACTTAAGATTCCATCACTGTAGTACGTGACATGTGGGTTATAATATACACAAGAAATATGCTTGCTCGATCGTAGTACTCATCATTAATTTTTTTTTTATATCACAACAAACTCGGTTTTCAAGGTTTTATCTTGTAACCAACTAGTAATAGGTGAAGTAAATTGTTAAACCAATCAGTAATAGGTGGAATAGTCCTGATAGACACCCTCATAAGTGGTCATTGTTTTTCTTATTTTAAAACATAAAACAATATTTTTATTATACATATGAGTTATATCTTAATAGTTTCAACTGCGGGTGAGAATCGAACCCCTATCATACCTCGTTAGGAGGTGACCGAGAGAACTACGTACCACCAGTCTCTCTCGGTCCACTTCGTAGAATTCATGTTCAAATTATAATATGATGACGCTAGGTTTATTTCGATCACTACTTTAATAGCTATGTTGCCGACTCCCTAAAATGGGAATCGGCGAAATCTTATTCGATGAAATCATGATGTATACGTCCTCAACAAGTAAGTAGAGGAGATGTAGTTTTCACTTAGATGAACAACAAAGATATATTGAAAAGACTCAAATACACATATAAACTGTCAATTACACTATACTAATAATTCATAATAGTACCTTTTTCTCTTATCCTTTTGAATAACAAGGAGAATACAATCATTGTACTTAATTAATAGTATACACGCAAATAATGATTTGATTTTATTTCCATAGAATCATAGATGCAATTATCTAATCACCATCATTTCTAAAATTTATTTTTCCTTTTTTTTATATATATTGTGTGTAGAGGTGGCGAAGCTCAACACCACAGAGTGGTACTTCTTCAGCTTTCGTGACCGCAAGTATGCTACGGGCTTTCGGACCAATAGGGCAACGACATCTGGCTATTGGAAAGCAACGGGTAAAGATCGGGTTATACTTGACCCGAGGACCCAAGAGATCGTAGGAATGAGGAAGACTTTGGTTTTCTATAAGAACCGAGCTCCAAATGGGATCAAAACGGGTTGGATCATGCATGAGTTTCGCTTGGAGAGCCCTCATATGCCTCCTAAGGTACGCAATTAACTACAAAAGTACTCCGTATTTTATTAAACTACATAACAAAATTATACCTCATTAAGTATTATAACTTCGTACAACATGTCTATTTTAATGTTTACTAGCTTTACAACGAGTGAACAATATATATGGGTACGGGCCGGATCAGCCTTGTCCCTTACCAACTTAGTCTTACACATGGAAGATACGTACGTGAGCACATGAAATTCTCATGCATGTATTGTTGTAAGGTTAAATTAGGGGAATATATATTTGAGACATAATTTATTAAATGCCGCTTTAGTAATAATTAACCAAGGAGAAGGATAGTCGTCCTAATGTCCTACATATAATAAAACTAAATAAGACAAAGCATACAACTACACATAGTATATATAGTTGAATTAATTGAATCTAGTGCATTTCGTACCTTTTCTTTTGAATGTATAGATCACGTGAAGTAATTAAGCAACGTACTATAAATAATTAGAATGTTATTGGTCCATTCTATAGTACATCTTGCATTAATCTCACTATGAGTTGTAGGCCGAAGTATTTGGTAGTAGTACATTTTTATTATGATCGAGTAGTTTATTAGCCTTAGTCCCTAGCTTATTAGCTATTTAACTAATAACCTAAGCTAGGCTCCATGTTAAGCTAAAGCATCGAAAATTTAATTACTCCTTTCGTTGTTTTTATTTCTAACCTACTTATTGCAAATTCGTATAATTAATACTAAAAAAAAAATATATGAAAAAGGTGGATAAATAATAAAGAGGGATTAGAATAGAAAGTGATATGTGGAAGAAAATTGCAAAGTCATAAATTTATAAAGTAGGTTAATTATAACTCATATGATCTGAAGTACGGAGTATAATTTTTGCTACTATCACTAAGGGTGACAAGACGAAGATTATAAATATATGGCTTGAAAGAATGGAATATTTGGCATTCATCACATACACAAATAATTCACAGGAGACGATCACCTCTAATGCTTAATGATTGGAGACAAGGATTTATATGTTGTCACTTTCTCTAGACAAATCCAGCATCTTAGGGCATTTATTCTTAAGAATATAGAAAATTCAAGGAAACTTCATCATTTTTATTGTCAATTTTACTTGTGTTGTGTTCCCTTTCATGAAGTCATCACTAAGTAACACTATTCAAACTTATCCAAGATCCAAAGTTTAGACAAAGACTTGACATATTCGACGGCATAAATTCTGTATAGATTTATCTTATAATTATACTTAATAAATAACCGATATAATAAGACAATTAGTTTAATTGTAGTTAGTACCTGTTTAATTTTCTTGTTAGTTTATGTTAATTTTCTCAATAATCAGGTCACTTCTTCATGAATACTTTACTTTGGCTTTAAACTATGCATTAAGAATAATTTTTTTTTTTTTGACAATAGCATTAAGAAAATTTTAGTGATTGTTGAAAGTTTATATTTTTTCCCCAATTTCAATCATTTTTAGTTTGGTAATTTGATTTTTGAAAAGGTGCATATTAGTTATTCGTATTTGCTTATTACTTTTTGCATTGCACATACATATGATATGTCAATATTATATACGGAGTAAATTACAATATAGTGCTTGATATCGAACCAAGCTAAATGTCACGTATATATTTACCTGTATCACTTTTATTGGCCTATATAAATGTACTCCGTAACTTCTTAATTTTCGTAAAAATAATTTCAATTGTGATATGATGTGCAGGAAGACTGGGTGTTATGTAGAGTTTTTCACAAGAGCAAGACTGAAGAAAACAACAACAATAACCAATGCCAACACATGCACGAACATACAACAACAGCTAGCACCTCTTCACTACCTACTTGTTATGCATGCCAACAAACCAACTCATTCTCTTCAAATTGTACTCCTACTACTCTTTCTCAAGAACCAATTATTAGCCACAACAACAATAGAAACAACATTCCAAACATTACAAATAATCATCATCTGTCGTCGTCGTTGTCGCCATCGTCGTTAAACCCTAGCAATAATTTCATGCACCTCTTGAAAGAGGGTAACCCAAGCTACTCTTCTTGGAGTGATTTGGTTGTGAAAAATGATGATTATGGACTATTATGGGACTTGGAAATGGAAGATCAAAGTAACAAATTGGGTGATAATAATGGAGTTCTTCCTCAACTTGAATTTGGAGATGTGAGATTTGATCAAGATGATTGTGGCACCATTTTCTTCTAATGATTTTTATCATTACAAGAATTATTATTATTATTTTATAATTTTCCAACTAACAAAAAAAAAAAAAAAAAAAAATTGGGAAAAAAGGTGAAAAAAAAGAAGAAAAATAGGTTTAAAAAGGGACATATTTAGAAAGACAAGAAGTACACCACCATTTTGTTGATTTGTGTGAAGTTTGGTGTACTAGCCATAGATAGCTTATTATTTTTGCTTAGACATTAAAGGATATAATATTTTTATTGTAATGCCATAATATGGTATAGGATTTAGGTTGTGGTCTATATTATAAATATATATGTAGTGATCATTGTATAAACACATGCATGCATGTATTTTTACCATTATTACCCTTTGTTTGAACATACATATTTGTAAAATTACTTGGTATTTACTCTATCTCTATTCATACTATATGCTCAATTCTAGATTTTTAGTACATTTTTGGCGTTTATGATATAGCACATTATTGTTTATTTTTCTATATTGTTTCATTTGATAAGTGACTATTAGCTAACTTTTGTATTTGCCTTCAAAAATAACAAACAGTTTTTGATTTTATGAAAAATATCTTTTCAGCCAAAATGAAAATCTTGACAAAAGCAATTTTTTTTTCTCACAATTTTGTCCTTTTAAGGCAACTTCTGGCTATTAAATATGAGGAAAAATGATGGTCATTTTGTGAAGAGTTGAGAATCAACAATTGATTATAGCAAACATGTATAGTACTCGGTGTATAAATCACTTATGTAGTTAACCGACTTAAACAATGAATACCAACACTTAGTAAATACGAATACTATCAACGGGTCAAACAACCCAAGTAAATCATGCAATAATCAACAATCAATAACCTAAACAAGGTCTTTTATACCAATTATGCGTAGTATATTATACCTACGAAAATAGATAATTGTATAAGCCCTTAACATTGAATTAATCAAATAAATGTAAAGAATTTAGCTTGCTTTCGCTACAAGTCGATCATGCATGACAAATTACAAAATTAAATTTGAGCTTCTTAGCTTACAAAGTCATTAATGAAATCACTATCACATCAAGCAATAATCTACAAATAATAACTTCAATTCACATGTTTTTTGCTATTTACTTGATAAAATACATTATCTGTTAAAATGTTACTACCTTTGCATTTTAGTGCAATAAAACTATCCGTACTTAATAAGGTTTGTATTATCTCTAACTGCTATAGCATGATAAGATAAAGCAGATCATTGGAGGACAAATTTAATTAAAGAGTATGATGTTACATGATTTGCAAGTTGAATTAATTAGTTGGGGTATTTTTAAAAAAAAACCTGCGGCTTTTGCATGATTTATATAAATGCTCTAACAATAAAAATTGGTGGTATGTTTGCCTCTGGTGGCTCCCTCCTCCCGGGTTTTTGTCGATCGCTTTCTTGTTTTTTATATCGCCTCTGTTTAGATTTAGTTATCATCACACTATTAGTATTAATCATGCTATATATTAATAATTCTTTAATGGACCTACGTATACGTACACAACAAAGCTTTCGTTGGAGTAGAGTCTAAACATACATATATTGGGCCCATCGATCCAGGTTCCAATATTGTAAAACCAATTTGTATATATTCAGCTAGTTTTATATATTAGTCATTCTATCTTATCTTTTTCAATATAAATCGTTTTTAATTACAGGTGCGTCTTTACCAATTATATTTTTCAAATGTACAAGAATACAAACATTTCAACATCCCTTCCATTTTATTCATTTCATTTTTGGGTCCATCATTACGTACATATTAAGTATTTTCTTTTAATTTTGTCATTATTGTAGGTTCTAAAATACAGCCATAACAAGGGCAAAAACTAGGTACTCACAAAAGTTTTCTAGCGTCGCGTTATCTTCAACATACCACGGCATCTCGAGTAATTTAAATTCACAAGGTAATAATTGAAGAAAGTAAAAGGAACAGTACGTAAAGGAATATTTCCTAGGGATAATCATATATTATGTAGTTTAATATCACATCAATAATGGCCTACAAATGTAATAATGTTTATACTAATTACTAAAATTGTCACATAATCTTGTGATTTAGCAATAGTTTTTGTTCTATCTAGCTAGATAGACACACCATCATATATAGAATAACTCCAAAATAATACTCTTTCACAAGTTTCGCCATTTATAAGGAAGTTCGGATGTAATGCTTTACATGGCTATATGAGGCTCTAAGACAAAGGATTTTGCTTGCATACGATTGGATACAATGATGGATAGCACAAAATTTATTACCACGCGTGTACTGGAATGAATGTAAAGGAAGGAATAAATCTGGATATCTTACAACAATTTATTTGAGATGTGACACACCTTGTTTTTTTTTTAATCACGCTTCTTTTGCACTAGGTGGATAACACGTATAAGATAGTCCAATAGTCCAATTTACTAATTTAACATATTGTAAGACAAACATTAAGTGAAAATGTTACTCCAACGTTTTCTTTTTGATGTTCTCATTAAGACTACCACTATACACTAAGAGAAAATTTTAAATTAAAAAATTTTAAAACATAATTCAATGAAGTTTTGTTTGATTTGACACTCTAAGTGCTTTAAAAATAGTAATTTTTTATAATTATTAATAATATATTAGTAGTTAAAATATGTCTTTGACAAACGAAAATATAAAACCGAAATGGAATAAGTAATTAGCAATGGAAGGAGACAAGGAGTAAATGCTTAATAATTGTAACTTTATGTCGTTATGTTTAATAGGTAAGGGTCTAGATTTGGGCTAATTTCAAACATTAATATTCGGTAATTCTGGGCTAATTTGGATTTCCTAAATATTGGGCTGGGCCACCTATATTATAACATTGGGCTGGCCAAAGAAAATTTTGGATTAAGTTTACTCAGACCTCAGAAAGTCAGAAGTTCATAACACAGCAAATTATACTCCTCAACTCACTCGTACTCTCTTTTTTCTCTCTCCTCTGCAAAATTTTCTTACATCAATGGAGTCTTAGGGATTTATTTTTCAGTTAAATTACTTCTTTCTTCAGTTTAATTCGTCGCTCAAATTTACAAGTTTTCGTCATTTTTTCTGAAGATTCAAGTAAGGTATGCTTGAAAATTCACTTCAATTTTTTTCGGCGCTTTTTTTTAATGCTCTGTATAGTATTACATTAGTTAATCTGACATTGTTATTGATAAATTCATGTTGTTTTATCTATATTATGTTATTTATGAATGAAGTTTAGAAAAAAAAAATTGGAATTTAATTTACACAGAAGTAGTGGAAGACTAGTATAATTATTAGATTGTAAACAATTTATTATTGCGTAATTTTTGTAAATTGCTTCGTATTTGTTAGAGCTAGTTAATGGTGGAGTATTAATGGATTTTTTAGTAGATTATTTGTAGCTTTAGGTTATCTTTTTGACAAATGGGGGAAAAGTCTTCTTTAATGCTGCAAAAGTTAAAAGTACATTGGAAGTTAGGGTTTGAAATTGATTTTATGGTTTTAAACTCGTTGTTTACTGTACTTGAATTTCTTGAATGTTTCGTGTTCGCTTATTTTCTAGAGAGATTGGCCTTTACCCAATTTATTGCCATGGAGATGAGATGATGAGTATGTACATGGGTACCCTGAAGTAAAGCTTGATGGAATGCTTTCTTTCCGTCCTAGTTAATTGTCGTTTGACCTTATTAGTATAGAGAAATGCTGGTTTGAAGAATTCCCTTTGCCTGGTGAGTAGTGAGTAGTGTGACTAGTGAGTGGAGGGCGGTTTAGTTGAGCTCTAGTTTGCTTATGTTGAAGATGAAAACTACTCACTCTATACTTAATTACTTACTTCACTCTAATTGAGTAAAGAAAAGTCTGAATTTCTAAATTAAATGCGGCTATTAGGCCAACTAGTAGTTTTTAGCTTTTAGCTTTTGATTAGTTGTTGGTAGGTTAGATGTTAAAGTAGTTGTTGGTAATATGGGTGTTTAGCAAAAGTAGCAGTTTAAAATGTAAGCGTCAATAAAGATTATATATCTATTAGGGAAATTAGCCATATTTTGATATTTTAATTTATGGTTGTATTTTCAGTATTACCTTATTTTAATTTAACAATGACTAATTTTTTTTTTTTAATAATAAAAGGTAAGCATTAAAAATGTATTAATTGATTACAGTCAATGTATGGAATATTTTCTGTGTTTTACATTAATCTTATTATGCATGGAATATATTTTTACACTAACTATTAATAATACCTTATAAAACCATGATTTCACCAGAGAAGATAGCATGAACAACAAAAATCAACACATATCGCCATATCAGATTACCTTAATTTACGTAATATCATATTAAAATTTGACCACGAAAGAAGAGTGCAACAATATATTGTGGCCAAATTTGTCACATAGTGCTACATCCCAAGGTTTAAAACATTAATTAGACCTTTTTTTAATGCCGAAGAAATTGGGGAAGAAGTAACTAAGTGGAGAAAGAAAGCAGTAAATGGAACGTAGAAAAACTTGAACTCCACTACTACTTTTTTGTATGACACGTTAAATCTTGTAATCTTTGACAACACCACACAACCTTAACTTCTACCTCAAACCACTATCTAAACCACTACCTTACTAAACACTTAATCTTTTATCTTTTGACTTGGTCAAACCACTAATCTCTACCTCAAAACCTGTTGCCGAACACGCCCTTAGTGACAGATAATGCTAAGAGTTAGTAGTGGAAGGGAGGCTTTTAGATACCTAAAGACTGATAGTCAAGAAGATCCTGGGTACAATTTTGTTGTGCTAGTTGACTGTCGAAAAATCACTAATGGCATTCTATACTTTATATTAAAGTTCTTGCCTCTTTAATCATGTGACAAACAGGCTAAACACATTACTTTTTTGTGCTCTTAGTTGGCTCAGTAGAATTGATGGTGACTGAAAACATGAGTCCTGTTGAGAAGCATCAAGAAGAAAAACTAGATATTCCTCCGGATTTGACTTCACTCACCACATTCAGTTTGCAAAGAGCAGAAGTAAATGATCTGGAGATATCTTCAGGGATATCCCCTTCTGAGATTGATGGTCTTGAAAGCATCAAGAGAAGTTTGAAGATTCAACAAAGACCATGGATTGTTTATGACCAGTTCAAAAGTGAAAGGGAGCCAGATGTTAAACCACATGATATGGTCATACTTGTTTCTCCTTAATATTTCAGTGTTTGTAAATGTAAGATTTTGTATCTGGTTTGCCTGCATTGAATTAAAACAAGGTTTATATACTAATAAAATAATCACCCAAGAGCTGAAAATGATGGAAACTACTTTCTTACATCATACGAAATATAATATGAAGAATGGAAAAAAAAATCTTTCATAAATAGAATTTAGGTGCAT